TCAACCCATCCCTGCATGCTAGGGTGCTAGGGGTAACCCTGGTTTTTGAACTATCCTTTCAGGCCCACATCCAATCCCTGTCCAAATCATGCCACCTCAACCTCCGCAACATCTCCAGCATATGCCCCTTTTTAACCAATTATACCACAAAGCTTCTAATTCACTCCCTGGTTATTTCTCGCCTTGACTACTGCAACGCTCTCCTCATTGGCTTACCTTTAAATAGTCTATCCCCCCTCCAGTCCATCATGAATACTGCTGCCAGGCTCATTCACCTTACCAACCGCTCAGTGTCTGCTACCCCTCTCTGCCAATCCCGCCACTGGCTTCCACTCACCCAACGAATAAAATTCAAAAGAAACTAACAACTTACAAAGCCATCCACAACTCTGTCACCAGCTACATCACCAACCTGGTCTCAAGATATCAACTAAACCGCTCTCTTTGATCCTCCCAAGACCTTCTGCTCTCTAGTTCCCTTGTCACCTCCTCCCATGCTCGCCTCCAGGACTTCTCCCATCCTATGGAACTCCCTACCCCAATCTGTCCAGCTATCTCCTAATCTATCCACCTTTAGATGATCCCTGAAATCCCCTCTCTTTAAAGAAACCTATCATGCTTTTACCTAGTAAACTGCCATTTATTTCCTCCATCAGCTCATCCCCCCACAGCTATTACCTTTTGTATCACTCAACCCTTCCTCTTAGATTGTAAGCTCTAACAAGCAGGGCCCTCGGTTTCCTCTTGTACCAAATTATATTGTAACTGTTATGTCTACATTCATTTTGTAAAGCGCTGCGCAAACTGTTTGCACCATATAAATCCTGTATTACAAAAATAATACTTTCTTGCTCTGTGCAGTGGTTTTGCACAGAGCAGCCCTGATCCTCCTTTTCTTGAGTCCCCCCACCTGTGCTCCTGGCCCCTTACTCCTGCCAAGTGCCCCCACAGCAAGCAACTTGCTATGGGGGTACCCGAGCAGGCTCACTCCCGAGCTGCTGCTCTGTGTCCATTCACACGCAGACGTAGCTCGGCCACGCCTCTCTCGCACTCTCCTCATTGGCTTACTGGCTGTGATGGCTCCAACTGCTGTCTCAGCCGAGGGACAGACCTGGGACAGGCGCTGCTCTTGTGCACGACGCTGAATTGAGAGGGGACTCAGGCAAGTATTGCGGGGGCTGTGGGGATGGGGGGCTTCTGCACACAGAAAGATAAATAAACCTTAAAATAGAACTATACTTTATTTTGGATAGAGCAAGAGAGGGTTATAACGCCTGCCAGATTTTTTTTTTCGCTATCTGTGTCCCTTCACTTCCTGTCCCATAGCCAAACAAATTAAGGCAATTTCTTGAGGACCCCCAGGTCACCAGAACTAGCATCTCTATTGAAAGATTTCCCCTTTATTACTTTTCCAGGGACAACCAGGGCAATAAAAGCAGACAGATGTTCTAATCCCTCTCTCCACTACTTCCAAAACTAAAAAAAAGGTTTTGCCTTTACAACCATTTTAACTGTACAAATTAAGACCGGATATTTAAAAGCAATAAGCACTCAGCATTTCTTTTTGTCACACTTTACTGTATATACATGTGGATTTTGTTTGTTAGTTTATCTTTGGAGGTTTTTGGTTATTAAAGTGCAAAGGGAGATAAAAAACCAGCACATCCCCTAGCAAAACACCACAGAATACACAGTATAAACACTCCCTGGCAAATGGTTAACCCTTTGATTGCCCCAGATGTTAACCCCTTCCTGCCCAGTGTAATTAGTACAGTGACCGTGCTTTTTATTAGCACTGATCACTGTATTAGTGTCACTGGAAATGTCAGTTAGTCAGTTCCCAACCAGTGTCAGTATCAGAATGCCCGCTGTACTATCACAGTCCCACTATAAGTCGCTGATCGCCACCATTACTAGTTTAAAAAAAATCCAGTATCTATACCATTGTTTATAGCCGCTATAATTTTCACGCAAATTAATATACACTTATAGGGATTTTTTTTTACCAAAGATGTGTAGCAGAAGACATTTTGGCCTAAATTTATGAAGAAATTTTATTTTATTTTTTATTGTATTGGATATGGTTTATAGCAAAAAGTAAAAAATATTGTTTTTTTTTCATTTTTGGTCTTTTTTTGTTTATAGCACAAAACCCAGTGGTGATCAAATACTACTAAAAAGAAAGCTCTATTTGTGTGAAAATCATAATTTTCATTTGTGTACAGTGTTGCATGACTGCACAATTGTCAGTTAAATTAGCTCAAAGTAGCAAAAATGCCTGATCATGAAGGGGGGTAAAGCTTCTAGAGGGCAAGTAGTTAAATGTTCCCATCCACACAGCATACCTAAATGTAGTGCTACCTCCGTAGGAGCCACTGGATAGGATGGGTCCTCTGTTCTTTGACGCGACCTTCTCAAGAACCACATCCCCTCTGACACACCAGGTTAAGTATGGATTCCCACATGTGTGGTGCGAACGAATTGAATCTCTGTTTTCACAGCTAATTGACACAGTAGTTGTTCAGTGGTTCAGGTCAGGTTTAATTCAGGATCAGGTCAGGTTTAGTCAGTAGTTGTTCAGTGGTTCAGGTTAGGTTTAGATCAGGATCAGGTTAGGTTTAGATCAGGTCAGGTTTAGATCAGGATCAGGAGAGAAAACCGGCCTGAAATCGTGTTCACAAACTCATGACATGTGCGATTCAGAAGCGGTTCCCATAAAAGTCAATCCGCACCTGAACCAGAACGCACTGCTCAGAAATCTGACTGAACTTTTCAATCCGCACTGAATCTGCACTCCCAGTGCACCGGACATACAGTATGTGAACAGGCATCATAGGAAGCAATGTTATTTCACGTCATGCGGATTGGATGCGGTTCAAACCACATCCAACCAGCATATATGTAAACCAGCCCTGAGTGCACAAACATGCAATATCATAGGAAATCACTGAAAGTATTACTTAGTACAGTAAGTTCTGTTTAAGAAATCACACACTACCTTGTACCACCCATAAGGCTTGTGAGATGTTCAATCACACCCTGATACAACTACTGAGAGGCTTCACAATGAGAAATTATGGAAATGGACTCATTACGCAGCCAAAGGTGACTGCAAATACAACTGTACAATAGGTTCTCCAACAGGATGCTCACCCTACTATGTAATATGACTGTATCCTCAAGGCTCACAGATACATGTGCCACAGAGGAACTTGAATACACTTCAACTTCCTGGATTCGGGAGTGAAAATGACATCGGCTTGATGTCCAACAATTCATTAAAGACCAGCTATAGGTGGGGAAAGGGGAGTTGGAAGCAACAGACCTTCAACCTGGGTACAGAGCGCTAGTCTGATGTAAAGGAGCACACCAGCAAGGAAAACTGCAAACATTGTAAGAAGAAATCCCTGGAGTTGTCCTACAACAGCCTAGCACTGGTGTGATGTTGAATATGCACCATCTAATGTTCCCCAGACATCAGCTGCAGCGAATGAATGAGGTAATGAAATTGTGTCAAAGTCTGTGACCTAAGCTAAAAGCATTGTTCCAGCCTAGGTTACAGTCATAGAAATAATACTACCTCATATCATACCCCTGAAGAACTGGAAGTTTCTTTACGGGAAACATGGTTGAGTTGTGAGCTATTTTCACTTCCAGTTTGGTGCTCTACATATTCTGACCTGAAAATGAGGGAAGTTAATAAGCTAACAGAACACACCAGTAACTTTCATAAATTGCAACTTTATTTTTACATTTCATATAGAATAAACAAAATTGACATTTCTACTACCAATAAAATAAAGCTAAAAATAATGAAATGCAAAGCTGCTGCTTTGTGCTAGCATTACAAATGAATCCTTGACAACCTCCCTTCTGCACACCTCCAGCAATTTACACCATTGATCCATGCTAATAAGCAAAAATCAGGAGGGAAGAGCATTGCATAGCCATATGCAATATTTATACTGGCTGCAGGTTGGGAGCTGTGTTTACATTTGCTATGTGTCCTTCTCAGCACAATGAAAGTGAATTAGTCTGAGGTATACACATTAGGGTATGACATCACTTTCTAGCCTTGACTAATTAAATATAGAATATGATATTCTACAAGTGACAAATTAAATTCTAAAAAGCTTGGCACGTGGGATACTTATTTGTATACCATAAAAGAGCAAAACAAGCAAACAATGTTCAAATGTACAGAATTAAAATTATTGGGACTAGTGATAGTCTGTTGCTCTCTTTAACATTTGTAAAATGTACATACATTTAATTTGGCAATAGGGAAAAAAGATTGCTGAAGCATTTATAATTTCGTTATCAGTCTGCAGGTTTAGAGCAAGCACTCTTTTCTACCATTTTCTGGTATATTCCCCATTTTTTTAAGCTGTGCTATGGTTACAGTATATAACAGCGTTTGAAATGTGTATGATCATGCAGCCTACACACAGATTAAGGCTTTGCTTTAAAGCATTTTCAGGTTTACTTTTAAGGTTTTCAACAGGTTTACCAATTAAAATTCAAGAAAACATGTTCTCTTAAGAGAATGGCTTTATAATTTCACCTGGGAGCAATGCAAAATTTATTGTGGTTACCCAAATATCTTACATTTTTGCTTTGTACTGGTATCAAAGATCTGGCAGCATGTCATATATGGTAGGAGAGCCCTTTCTCTAGCAAACAAGCCCCAATAGTACGTTTTGCACATAGAGCAGTGGCAGATAGTTGTTTTATTGCCCATAAGAACAGATTCAGATTTGTCAGTATTCATAAAGTGCCAAAGTCATCTGCATCAAAAGTCTATGACGTGACCACCTCCAGAACGTGGCATAAACTGATGCATGTCTCATTTTCAGCATGCACCGATTTTGCGGGTCAGCAGCAGGATAGTAAGGAAGCAACAAGCCAAAATATCCAGGTCCTGCAAACTGGAACTTGACCTCATAATCTGTGCAATTTTAACAGAGCACCTTTACAAAGCTTGTTTCCTGTCTCTGTAATCACTCACTGGTTACTTTACCAGCTGTCTCCTTTGTTGCTGTTACAATAGGGCTTGGTACATAGTTAAATGGAGTAACTCTGGCTGCCCTACTGGGGGAGCTGTGTCTGCTTGTAGGTAAGTTTACAACAGATAAGGTCCCCTTCCCTGACTCTGTCATAATTGTAGAGTTCATGCATGCTGGTCCTGTTTCTACTCTCTATTGTAGGTGAGGTGCTGGAATTGGTCTTGGTTATGTTGATGTCCTCTGTCTGGACTACAGCATCACTTGTTTTCCTTCTTGGCTCACTGTGCTCCTCAGAAAGTGGCAATGCACAGGCAGGCAAAGTGCTTCTTAGTATATGTGGAATATCTTCATCACGGATTCTTCTCCAAGTTGCTCTCCCTGAGCCTGGAGAAGAGTCAATCCTTGGAACTCTTTTATCTTCATTTTTTGAGGTGCTATGGCCTGGCTTTCCCTCTACACGTGACCATGGAAGGTTAATGTGAGGGGAAGAGGAATATCTTTTGAAAGGCTCTGGTGGTGGTGGCATATTTCGGACAGGAAGTCGAGATGGACTCTCAGAACTTGTTCTTCGTGGTGGACGGCTTGGGGATGATGGAGATTTAGGTTTGGGAGATTTGTGTGCTTTGAGTTCCTCACAGCGAGAGGAACAGAGAAAAACAGCAGGTAAAGCAGCACTGTTTTGGGAGGGAACTCTGTGTTGTCTCTGTGATACAGACAAATCAGAATGTTGTCGCTTCATTCCTCCTGCTGATTCTTTGATGAATGTTAACTGACGCAGCATTCCTGATTTGTCAGTCTCACTGTTTCGCATTTGATTAAGACGACCATTTTGGGCAGTGGGCCTTTTGCTGGGGCTCTGACGAGAACTAGCACTCAAAGATTCTATAGCCAGTGGGGATGGACCAGGTGGAGCTCGAGGACTTGATTTCCTCATGTATGGGATTCGTACAGGGGACTTCTGAGTTTTATTCCCAGGAGTCTGAGGATTCCTTACTCCTTTTGACTTTGGAGAAGGTGGGGTCACTGGGGATTGTGCTTTTCGAGAAGGTGTGGGATTGCTAGAGGAGTTGTGAGATGGCACAGTACTGATACGAGCTGGAGGTGTTGCGCTTCTTTTTGGCAATGTCATCTCCTCTGCAATTTCAGATTTTCCAAGGCGGTGAAGACTCCGAGAACGCATAGAATTAGTGACTTTTGTATCTTCCTGAGGTTGATTATACTGGTAGCATTGCCTGCTACCTGTTGCTTTATCTTGTGCTGGCATGTAGATTACTGTCCTTCCACGAAGGACCATGGGAATATTAGAAGTTTGCTTTTGGCCTTGATTAAATACTCTCCTTCCTCTGTTACTTCTGGAGCCTTCACTACTACTAGATAGTTGACTTGAAGTCCCATTTTTGGAACTCAGAGACCTATCGCTGTTTTGCTTGTGCTGTCCATACAAACTTTGTCGGGTGGAGATGGAAGGGCTAGACATAAGGGAGTCAAAAGATGGACCTCTGGAAATAGCTGATGATTCTCCAGAAATAGAAGCTGCAGCTTGATGTATCCAGCTAACTATTGAGTTAGCCCCTTCCTTAATTGCTTCCCAGTCCACACTATCTAAATCAGACAAGTCTTCACCTACTTGTGTCTTATCCCCAGATGTGGTTAGCTGAACTTCTTTTTTCTCATTATTTTTAGGTTTGTGCTTTCTTTTCCGAGCTGAGAGCCTTCTCTTTCTGGGCATCACTGAAGAACTTTTTTCTTCATCTGATGTGTGGTTAGCTGAGGAATCTTTCCTCTCAGTACGAGTAGTAGATGTCCAACCTTGTTGCCTAGAGAAATTTTTAATGGGTTTATTTAACTTACACTGCGTGCTTACAGGCTCTATGTCACTGAGGGAGCTCATTGAAGAGCTGAGAGAATAACAAGGCATAGGCTCATCTTCTATAAAATTACTGAACTTAGAGGTAGACAATTTACTTTTACTTACAGGCTCCTTGGCCTCTCGCTTTGTTGTTCCAGAATACTGATATTTTCTTGGAGATTTAGATGGCTCAGTTTTCATCCTCTGAACATCTTTACTTGAGTTTATCAATCCAACATCATCCTCAAAGAAGCAGTATACTGCTTCCTCTGTTGGTGTAGTATGACAAAAAGACTGGAAAGCTAAATTCCCATGAACATTTTCTCCTTGCTTTATTTCTAGTCTCGAGGGACTAGCTGAAGCAGATACTCTCTCAGCATTTCCAATAAATTTGGAAGAATTTCTATGGCGTGTTTCAGTGCTCTTTAATGTGTCTGCTGTTTGATGTATTTTCATTGTATAAGCACCACTTTTAGATATGCCAGATTTGGTATTGATCTTTGCTGAGCCTGCAGTACTGTCTGATGAAAACAGTGTTCTCTCTTCTCTCTGATGATGGCTATCTAACATTGCTCCTACATCTCTCATTTGCATTCGACTACTTGGCCTTTGTCTGATGTCTTGACTTTCTTTAATAGGATACTGCAGAGTTTCATCACTAAGAGAAGCTGCACTGGAAAAGTTCACAGGTGTTCCCTCTGCCGAGTCTGTGAAAGAAGAGTTATCGGTAATGAATTCCTTTTTGGTACCAAAGCCTTTATTTACTGCCAGCTGTGTGTGAGCAGGAACCAACATGTACACTGGCAGCTGAACTGGTTTTTTGGTCTGAGCATTCACAAGGTGTCCAGAAAGCATTGATGTTTTCATTTTACATAGCTTTGTGGGCATAGCAGAGTGGATACACTCTTTCAGAATGTCAATATCATCATCTGAAACAAGATCAATTTCAGATTTTTTCATAAATCCCAGGATTCTTTCTTCATGACTGTCTCCACATTTTTCATGTGCTACAAAGTTCAAACTATTTTTCTCAGGAAATGGGGGGATCAGTTTAAGTTCCACATCCTTTTGGATATAATGTTCATGCAAGGGAAGAGCACTTAAACTGGAAGCACATGAAAAATTTTCTGTAGGTTTTTCCACTGTAAAGTAAATCATTGAGTCAATATCTCTTGGAATCTGGAATCTTTCCTTAAAATCAGTTATCTCCATGAACTTTTTCACATTGTTTTCCCACTGAATGTTGAACTGACTAGCCTCCTTTTCTTGGTAGCTACTGGGGTCAAAACTTGGGGTTTTGCTTCTACTTGGTGGCATGGTCTGTCCAGGGCTGTCTGGCAACTCACTGGGGCTTATTGTTCCACTGATCATCTCACTACATGGATCACTTTGAATTGAACTAGCAATAGAAGGACTCTCAAAGCTTCCTAAAGAACTGACTGAGCTGCAACGACTCATTACTAATGGTGTCTCCTGAATGTAGTTTTCTGAGGAGCTTGATGGTGTCATATCTTCATTTCTTGAAGGTGAAAGGTCCCGGAGGAAATGTTTTTCTGGCTTTGTTGGGGGAATAGCAATAGGCTGAGTTGAACTAGGAGAAACACCATTTTTCTCCATAAGTTTCTGTCTACCTCGATTGCACCTATTAAGATCCATTTGGCCATCTTCTACCTCAAGAATTTCCAAGGAGGAGTCACTGTCTATCTCATTTTCACTCCGGCTTGGTCCATCCAAGAGGTTGTCTCCAGATGAAAGGGAGGAGAGGGAACTGCATCTAGAAAAACATATTGGAGTCCCTTCAACTGCATATTTTTGCAGTGACTCCTGCTCTCCATTTGAGGAAGAATGAGCAGAGGCTGTTTCTAAAGCTTTTGAAACTGTATCGGGCGTTTGTGATGGGTGCAACCAAGCCTTTTTCTTCATGGAAAGTGTCTGATGCAAAATGTTACCAGAAAATCCAGTCCCATTCTTTGTTAAGCTGTCAAGTCCAGAAATATGCTTATAAGAAGGAGAAAGTTTTATGGTATGCACAGAGGTGTCTACAGGAAATTTGTTGCTGGAATTGTCCATAGTAGTTTCTTCTTGTGCCTGTTCTAAAGCCATGCTCTTCAGTCCAGGGATAGATAGCTGTCTTTTTCTAGAACTGATTTGTCCACTTTGTTCTTCCTTGTTCTGCTCTTCTTTAACATGACCATCCATGTCATTTCTTTCAGACTTTATGCTGAACATATTTTTTAAATCAAGCCGACTAGGACGTTTCTGATACCGTTGCAAGTCTTCCTTGTAATCCATAAATGCAGCTTTACTGCAAGGCTTCATATGTTCTCTAGGACAGTATCCATCACTTGTACTTCCACTGTTCAGACTATCATTAGAGAGACTTGTGTAAGCTGTTTTCAAGCGCAACAGGGCTTGAGCCCTGCTTAGGTTTTCTCTCCTTACTAAGCCACTGTTCTCTGATAGTCTACAAGGAGAACATGACTGAGCCCTTGCTTCATGAAGCTCATCAGAGCCATAGGGCCAGTCAACACAATGATCCTCAGAGCTAAGACTGAAACTGTCATCAGAGGAAGTGTGCATTGTGGAGATATCTTCTACCAAACGTTCTATTTTTGCCACTGTACAACTTGCCAGTTTGTCAGCAATAGTGATCTCATCCTGTGGTTTCCTGTGATCTGGTTTAATGCTGTTGGCTTTCTCTGTATCTAGACCCTTCCTCAAAGACCCAGTTCTTGGCACATTCTGCCCCTGAGTAAAGGAGGAGTTTAAGTACATAGATAGTACAGAGGAATTCCCTGTTTCAGCACTGATGGAAGTGTTTGGTATTTCATCATCATCAAAACAGCCAGAATCTGAAGCATAATCTTTTACTAGACTCTCTATGTGCCGTAAAGGGCCCTTAATTGGTTGAGGTTTTAGTCCTTGTTTATCCATAGAGTCAAAAGTTTCAGCCAAGTGCTTTGCATCAAGCTCTGCTTCCAAAGCTTTCTGCTTTCTCATGTATAGTGAAGGCATGCAAGATCCTGGTGAAATTACAGAAGCATCTTTGTATTTTAGAGGCCGGTGTGCAAGCAGGTTTCTCAAAGCAGCTGCGCTTCCCATGGCAATCATCTTGTGTTTGGAATGGATGAGATTACGTAGCATACTGACAGCACCCAAATCCCAGAGAAGTTCCTGATCTTGAGGACATCTAGCAGATAGGTTCCAAAGTGTCCCACATGCATTGCTAACAATAGTCAAGCTGTGGGATTTCAGGTGCTGCAACAAAGTCTGGAGACAGTTGTGCTCACGCAGTATCTGCCTGTAAAACAAAACAAAAAATATATTTTATTACGTTGTTAACAAATTCTATTTTTTTTTTAAAAAGTATTTATTCTTTGAGTAAAATGACTGATGTTAATATAATATGTCAGCATAGTAATAAGATAATTTCTGTCCAATAATGATTTTGTTTGTCATTACAAAGAACATTATTGACCAAGGTAGTTAGAGGATAGCTGCTACTAGCAATATAATAAAGTTGATGTCTATCAACTCCTAGATCAGATAGTGCCAATAAATAAGGACCATACATATGACCAATACATGTGACTTGTTTTTAATTTGGTGTGAAATACAGATACCAAGGTGGACAACAAAGTCTAAAGCATTTTCCAATCAGTGTTATGTACAGTATATACATAATCCTAGTCAGATATAGATATGGGTATACTAATGTATATATGGCTTGACTAGCTGTTATACAGAATGTGGGTGTGCCAGGAGTTGTGGTACCATTGGGTACCTGGGGATCACTCACACAGACAATAACTATAGGTTTAAATTCTTGTATTTTGAAAAAAATAGTCACAGGAATACATCAGTAACACTGGTACTTATGATAGCACTGCAATGACTATTACTCTGCTCTAACACAGCATAGGTCCAGATAGGGCAATAGTCCAGAAATGTTGCAGCTGACGTCACACAGGGAATCACAAGTTTTTAGCAGCTTGCCACGCACTGCCACATAAAATGCAGTGGCGATTAGGTACACAGAAAGGCTCTATTGCATGTAGAGCCTAATTTATCAGGACACTATCTGTTGGAGGGGTGGTTGATTGGCAAACTGCAGCTAGTGGCTCTTTTAGGCTGGCAAGAGAATGGCAGCAGCAGCTCCAGTGACCAGGATATAGAAAAGGAATACAGCAATGTCCCTATTCTGTCTCTCCTCATGCAGGAACCTATTTCTCTCACCCTAACCAGTAGGGTACCCACCCTTACCCTCATCACTCACATAAGGGCGCAAACCCTGGCAGGGTCCCATGTGTATAAGGGTTGCCCTATCTAAGATAGCCGCTAAAGGTCACTGGGGATTGCACCATCCATTCAGACATCTGCTCTCCCTGTGGCGACTACAGAACCTACAGAGGAACAATATTCTTGTAAACCTCTGCTCCATCCATACAGCGGAAAGGCATGCATGGTGATACTGTGACTAGAGGTTTTGTATAACACTGTCACCTTTAAATATATGCTGTTGCAAAGTTAGGTAAATCATAAGAATGCCTGTGCAGAATTCTAATATTTTTGTGTGGAAACAGTTTACATAGGTGTATTTCAACTGTTTGTCGTGACATCTGCTTTATGGCAAATCTATTACAAAAACAAAAATGCACTAAATGGACTCCCTGCAAAAAAGACAAATATGCACTTCTCTGGAGTGTGCTGGATTTCTGGTTCCAATATGGCATTAGTGTGTCCTGTAGACTAGTAGTGGGGTTAGAGGCAGGAGTGAATTAAATAACTGTAAATGCACTCAAATTACAGCTGTACCTTAAAACCCAGCTTCAGTCAAAACCTTTTTACTTTTTGGTGAATATCATATTACTTTTGCAATATTTTGCTGCTATTGCTTTATCCAATGGAGATATTCTCCTGTACACTCTGTTCCCCATCCCTGGGACAGAAAGTAAGTGGAAAGAGGTCCAATGGAGTCACAAATTACCATAAAATACACCATTTTTTGATTAAGGGTAAAGGCCACAAACTTCCATTTGCTGTCTGTGTTCCTACTGCAGAATTTCTCCCATCTTCTTGTCTTGGTGACACCCTTTGACAGAAAGTTAGTGGAAATCTCTCAAATAACGACACAGATGACAATCCCTTTCTCACAATATCAACTTTAAAAAAAAAGCTGAACAGCCTCTATTTATTAAATGCTACTAATGATGGATATTCATTTTTCAACAGGTAAACGTTTATTGAAAAATGCACAGGTTAACAAAAGGTATCACTGACGGTACAACACAATTTAACCCGTCTCAAGTAGGCCATATGTTGGAGTTAGATAAAGATACATCAGGTCTTAATACAATTACCCTGTATGACACTAAAGTCAGAAAGACAAGTACGGTATACAGTCAGGTTTGCATAATAGGTGATACGTCAAAAACTTGTACATCAATCTTAAACTGACGCATACAGCGTCCATCTATTGACCTCTGCCAGACAGTTGCACCAGCATAACACTTCAGGAAGACTGTAGCTTAAGTAATAGGAAAACTTTCTCTACCACCAAGCAATGTCAGGGTAGAAGGGGTGGGGGAGAAGGAAGGAGAGGGAGGAGGGAGAGGAAGAAAAAAAAAGGGGGGGGGGGTAGTAGAGGAAGGAGAAGGGGGGGATGGGGGGAAGGGAGGGGGGAATGGGACCATGGGAGGGGGAAGGGGGGAGACCAAAAACAGGAGAGAAATTCAGGGAGAAGAAGCCATGTCCAACACCCCCAACAAATACACTCCATCGGGTATTTTTGAACCATATGCATCAATCCAAGCTGACTATATTTTGTCAAACGTTTTCGGACAGTTTCTGCTCTCATATGTCAACTTGTAAAGTGGCAGAACCACATTCACTGTAGATTTCCAACGATGTACTGTGGGTGGAGTACACTGTGAGCATAGTAGAGTTCAATGGACAAAAACAGTTTCATCTACCATAACTCCCAGTAACATCAGTTGTGGGTCCATCTGGAGAGACCAGTCACCAAGATCATTTGGAGCATCAACCACAGACTCCCAATAAGAGTGAACAAATGAGCATTGCCACACCATATGGAAGAAGGTGCCAGTAGAGGAGTGATATCTTGTACAAAGAGGACTAACCATTGGGTAAATTGCAGCCAACCTCTGTGGGGTGTAATAGACCCTATGCAAGAACTTTATTTGGATAAATTTCTCTCTAGCGCAGAGTTAGTAGTATAGGAACCTATACAGTCCTCCCAGTCCTCATCAGTAAGGTCAGGGATGTCACCTTTCCATTTGTCAAAGGTTTTGGTGGTACTAGAGATGTACGCCACTGATAACTAAAGATAAATGGAAGACAGTGGTTTTCCCATCACCTTCGATGTTAACAAATGTTCCACTGTATCTGATTTCATTATAATTGGTTCTGGAAATTAGGACGCAACAGCATGTCTCAATTGTAGGTATCTAAAGTGCATGGAGGCCGATAATGCCAATGTCTTACGTAGGACTGTGAAGGAGGAGAATCTACCATCCATGATAACATGCTTTAGGGCCACAATCCCTCTGGATGCCCACCCCTGGGAATCTAAAAGGTGTGAAAGGTGTCGTAACTGCGGATTAACCCAAAGGGGAATGTGAAGTGAGTAGGTAGTGTCCTCCCTATAAACCTCTCTAGCCTGCAAACTCTGAGCATAGTAACCATAATCCTGTAACCAAGGGGTTGGCCCAGGGTCCACGATACACCAAGTTACTCAATGAGGCATAGGACCTCAAAAGATCAGCGTCCAAGGTAACCGCCAGGTTGTGTTTAGACTGACTAAACCACCAACGAACCTTACCAAGTACGGCTGCCAAGTAGTTAGGTTAGGCAGAGCCAAGTCCCCTTGAAAAAGGGGCAGTTGGAGCGTACTCCATGCTAATCTCATGCCAATACAAAGCAGACCTCCGTACTGCCCAAATTAAAGAGCCTTAGGTACAAGCACTGGAGTGTTTCTAAATAAATTCAGTACATAGACCATTCTTAGCAAATTCACTCTGCCCACTGGAGTAAAAGGTAAAGTACGTCAGGCATGACATTTGCAAGGCCTCCAGCCTGCCCCAAACCGCCCAAATATACAAACTCCTCCATCTCACTGTAACGGCATCTGTGTCACCCCTCCTGAACCCAAGGGATGCAGGGAAAAAAAAGGACTGTTTTTTTCAAATTGACAACCAAACAGGTTTTTCAGTGACCAAACAGATATATGATAACCAGTGCAGAGCGAGTCTGCGTCATGAAGGCATAATATGCTATCATCTGCATAGAGGGAAATCTTCTCATGCAGTGGTCCAACTGAAATTCCCTTTACCCTGGGGTCCTGGCACAGGAGAGTCACCAATAGCTAGGGCAAAAAGGCCAGTGGAGAGCAAGCACCCTTGTCTTGTCCCTCGATGTAGGGGGAAGGGAGCAGACAGCACACCATTAACCCTCACCGTAGCAACTGGGTTGTGGTACAGTAGCGGCAGCCACACAATAAAATTAGGCCCAAACCCAAAACACTCCAGTACCCTCCATAGATATTGCCACTCAACTACATCAAATGCTTTTTCAGCATCAAGAGATGCCACCACCCCCAGAGAGTGTAATATATATATATATATATATATATATATATATATATATATATATATATTACAGATTCAAGCGGGGATCTGAAATCTTTGTAAGCAGTTTAGCATCCACGTTCCGCAATGATACGGGATGGTAAGATGAACAGCATTCTGGGTCCTTACCTGGCTTAGGCACCACCACTATCGTTGAGGGAAGGGATCCATTCCATAATGAATTCACAATCATTGCATGAAGAAGGGCACAAGATCATCTGCATATGTTTGATATAATTCAATGGAGAAGCCATTTGGGCCAGGGATTTTCCAGTGTTTTTTTAAAATCATGCTTGAAGTGATTGAAACCGCAATAGAAACAATTGAGTACTGCCCATGATACTTTTTTTTTTGTACTAACATACAGTTTTCAGAGTATGTCCCCTTCTTCAAGGTCCAAGCAGTACTATTTCACAAAGTTTTAACAGAATGTTAAAAAAAAAATCTCTGAGGAGAAAAAAAACACAAACAAATGGTAATAAAACTATGATGGGCAGTGAGATAAGACAGAGCAAAAGCATAGACTTGGGGGGGATGACAGTCACAGAGGGGGTCGTAAAACTGTTAAATTGCTGGATAATGAGTGAGAAAATGCATGTCTAATTTAAGGCTGTTGTATCAAATAGAACTATCATTCTTAGTTCAAAAGTTTTCC